TATATATATATATATATATATATATGTGTGTGTGTGTGTGGCATATATATATATATATATATATATATATATATATATATATATTATATATATATATATATATATATATATATATATATATATAATATATATATATATTATATATATATATATATATATATATATTATGTGTGTGTGTGTGTGTGTGTGTGTGTGTGTGTGTGTGTGTGTGTGTGTGTGTGTGTGTGTGTGACATGCACTCACTATTGTATAACTATGTAAAATTATGACAGACTAACAAATTTACGTTTGTATTTAGTATTTTGCACAAAAATATGCCAGAATGAATGGCAATACACCAATATAACATAACGATATAAAACTCTTCTCAATTCGATAGTTTCGCTCAAAAACATACTTTATACAAAAACTTTCAGTAAACCTTTGTATACAATATTTCTCTCTTTAAAAAGACATAAATGTTGACTATTTGACTGTTGTTACTTTTTCGTTTTCTTACATTCTTGAAATGATGCATGCATCTTAAATATCGCAGTGACATATTGTCTTAAGCAAGTTAGTGACTGAATAATCCTTTTTATCATTTTCCAATCCTCTAAGTTTCTCATGTGAATGGTGTTTTAATTTCGAGTATTCACCCTTTTTTTACCCATGTAAATGCTTTCCGAATGATTATTTATTAATTGTCAACATGATCTTTTTCACAATAAAGTTTGGTTTAGAAATATATGCACGCTTTATAGATTTTCTTGTTTGATTAACTTCACACTTAACGTTTGGTTCTCTTCATTTACTTTTGATGGTAAATTCGCCTGTGTTGTAACTTTTGGTTCAGGGTTATTTTCAAGAACAGCGTAATTTTGAATTCATAACAGAACATGATATATACGCAAATTAGTGATTCTTTTCCAGTACACACTCTATGCGCACGCAGTGGAGGCGAGTATGTGTGCATACTATATATCCAAGATATGATTCAATAATTTCTAAATATATCGGATGGTTATATCTGTAGAAGCTAACATGTAAATGCATGGAAGAAAAAACTTTTGATATTGTAATTAGATGTATATATATGTATGTGCGTTCGTACGTGCGTATGTGTGTGTATTTGTATATGTTGTGTGTGTATGTGTGTATATATAAACACATACACCTACATAAATGAATGTATATGTATATACATTGTTGTTTACCACTAGAATCATGTATACACATATTCTACATATGTAATTTTAAAGAGCTGAATGTATGATTACATGGAATCAATTTTTGATTAATACCTTCACAGCAGGGGCGTCATTCATTTTTGGAGGGCATTGTTGGTGAGAGAAGTGAATACAGTTTATGGGTCACTGTGTAACTCCCTCAATCCTCTGGAGGAAACTGTTCAAAAACGAGCTATTCTAATAGTTTTTTAAGCTACTGCCAGAGGTATCAATCTGTAATTTAGACAAAAAATCGCGGGAGCGAATCCCTTAGGAAGGAAAGGCAAACTAGACCTTAAGGGGATAGAGTCTTCGGGGGCGGTTACCCCTCAGCCCCCCCCCCCTCCCAAATGACGCCCCTGCTTCATGGACTCAACATTTCCCTTGCCTCCGTCTGGTTTAAATCTCTGCAGAATGTTATGAAATGTTTGGCTATCGTTAAAGAAGAAAACCAGGTTTCCACATAAGTCGGTATCAATAAAAATATAAAACTTGATATTAGCCGTAAAGTAATTCATAAAATTCCAAATAAAAATTGTATATACGGCAAACTTCATCTTTCGGGTTATTGTTAATTTGCTCATTCTGTGTAACAAGCTTGTACTAATTGTTATCAAAAGCATGTGATAAGGATACTTCTTGAAGACCCCACCTATTTCGGCACGTGACATACCGAAAAAGATCGCGTTATCCATTTAGTTGTAATGTTGTCCAGGATATAATGCACCAATTTCTAAACATGTCGAAGGGCTAAGTGATCCCTATTAATACAGTTGCAAATCCCATGATTCAGGTTGCATACTTAGTAATTAAACATTTCCTTTATTTAAAAATGGCATGGTCAGAAATAGAAAACAAAAACACCCAACTCCCAGGAAGTGTCGACTACTACTAATCCCATTACGCCTGCATGGCCGTATAAGAACCGGCCTCCAACGCTGCTCGGCATCAGCTTCTCTCCGACAGTCTTCGGGACTTCACACACTCCTCCGAGTCTACCAACAACCATTTTAATGGTCAACGCTGTTAAGGTCTTCAAAAAGACTTCACCTAATGGTAATACTAATGCCACTCATTTTTTGTATATGCAGTGGCAAGCAGCTTTGTAAATGTCTATAACAAATGTGACAATGGAACAATGATCCTGTTTCTTTTCCCCAGGTAAGGTCACCGCGTATCTAAGTCGGCGGGACTTCGTGGACCACGTCAGCCACACCTCCCCGTGGACGGTGTGGTTGTCGTGGACCATGACTACCTGCGTGGAAGG